CACAGGAATAGGTGTTGGGTTGCACTCACTGGGCCTCTCCAGGGTGGCTGGGTACACCACCTCCTACCTCCCTTGCTCTGGCCATCCTTGCTCCCTTCCCTGCCCATCAGGGCCTCCTCCCATGGTCCCATCATTCTGCCTCAGGGGCCTTCCATTCTACACTCTGGCCCAGTGAAGCCCTGAATTTTCCCAACCTCTTCGTACTTTGACCCCAGGCTGCCAGCCCTCAAGGTCATCCCCAGGCAGTCAGCTCACAGATTCCCAAATGTGCCACCTAGTATGCTTCTAATCCCATGTCCCCAAACCCTCAGGAGCTGACTGCCTATTTCACTGGGAACAAAGAAGCCATTGTCCACTCCTGCCACCAAACCCATAGACTCAAGCCACTGCATCTTCCCCACCAGATACACTGGGCCCATTCAGGCAGCCTTTCCCTGAGCTCTATGCTCAGGTAGGCATGTGACACCTGATGGTGAGAGCCCTCCCTGTGTACATCCCCATCAAGCACCCACTATGCTGGCTCACCTTCCAGCTATCTCACCCACTCCCAGCTCATCTCCAGCAGAGAGATATTCAAGCCTCAGTGTTTGGATAGCTCCTTCTCTGACTCCTTGACTCTTCCAGTTGCCCCTGTCTCTCTCCTTCCCTTCAGAATAAAACGTCAGTCTTCTACTCTCTCTGTCTCACCCTCACTCCCTACTCAGCCCATTGCCAGTGGCATCTGCCTCCATTACACACTAAAACTGCTACCCCCGACGCTCCAGTGGCCTTCCTGTCAATAATCCCAGAGGCCATATCTTATCCTCACCCTACTGTCCCCCTCCCACCACCCTGCATCAAACCCTGATCTGTCACTTTCCAGTGCTGTTGAGGTGAGTGCTCAGCCTCTACGATCAGACAGACCTGCTTGCAATCAGTCCTGGTGGTGTCACTTCCTGGCTACACGAATGCAGCCTCCCTGAGCCTCAGTTTCCTCATCTGTAAAACGGGGATAATAATAGTACCTGCCTCATAGACTTGTTATGAAGATAAATGAGTTAACCCATAAAAAGAACTGAGTGCCTGGCATTTACTGAGTGCTGCTCATCCAAAGTTAGCTGTTAGAGTCTACCTTCATCCGGTTCTCTCCATCTCACTGGCATCAACCAGATCCAGCCTCCTTATCCTCTATGGTCCAGAGACCCACCCCCACCCACGGTCCCCTCACTGGCCACCCTGCTGTCCTACCTCTTCCCAGCCTTTCTCCCCATAGTAGCTAGAGTGGGCTTCCTGGACCCAAACTTTCCAGGGACCACAGCCCTCCCTGGCTGAAAGCTCCCCAGTGTTCCCAATGTTTCTTGTCGGAAGCCTACATTTCCTTCTCTACGAAGGTCAAGATCTAAAATAGCACTACTCTGTTCTACAACACAAAGTCAGGACTTCTAAAGAAACATTTGCTGGAATGTTCAGCTTTCACTGCTTTAAAATTCACTGAGCTTTAAAATTCCCCCCAAAAGGCCATTTACATGGAGAAAAAAAAAAAAAAAAAAGAGGCTTTCCTCTGTAAGAAATCACATTTTTTGTGCACAAGTCCATAAAACTTTTATATAGAAGGTAACACCGAGCCACAGTTGAGTAGTCAAGAAGACTTAGCTCTATTTATATGGGCAAATAATTTTCGACAAAAAAAGCCAAAAACATACAGTGGAGAAAGGAAAGCCTCTTCAATAAATGGTGCTGGGAAAACTGGAAAGCCACCTGCAAAAGAATGAAACTAGACTGTTGTCTATTACCACACACCAAAATTAATTCAAAATAGATTAAGGACCTAAACATAAGACCTGAAACAATAAAAATGCATAGAAAAAAACATAGGAACTAAACTCAAAGACCTTGGACTTAAAGAGGATTTAATGAATTTGACCTCAAAAGCAAGGGCAGTAAAAGCTAAAATAAATGAATGGGACTACATGAAACTAAAAAGCTTCTGCTCAGCAAAAGAAATCATCAACAAGGTAAAGAGACAACTATCCGAATGGGAAAATATATTTGCAAGCAACACCTCTGATAAGGGCCTAATATCCAAAATATACAAAGAACTCATATGACTCAATAACAACAAAAAAACAAACGATCCAATCAAAAAATGGGCA